TCATCCCTAGGTGTAGAATGGGCATGAGACAGTCGCAAATCTTTTTTCGCAACGGTTACACGATCTGACAATCAATCAATTTTCCACTAAGCAGCCCAGGCGAGACCAGAGCATTCCCGTGTTTGATTACCGACAGACTTTGACGAACGCTCCGGGCGAATCGCTCGAACCTACGGCTCGAATAGACGAAGGGGTGAATAAAAGAAATCTCACCACAGGGTTGCTGCGTCGTCGCCCGATGCCTCCCAGGCCGCCGCTTCCTCTCAGAATCCTCCATTCCGCAATCGGCACAACGCGGCACTCGCGAAAGAGGAGCTAATGATATCCAAGTAACGCGCGACACGGCACTCCCGGCGTTAACCGACGCGAGCCCCGCTGTAACGAGAAAGAGAAAAAGAGATACTGTCGCGCGCGGGAACACGAGCCGCCACGATGGCGTCGCGCGAAATGGCGGGAACGTTCCGGCGAGAAGGACTACGAGATACGCGAGGCTTGCGACGCGTCTCGCGACCGAGCGTTCAACGGGGCGATCTCGCGCCAACATCATTGTTGGTCCATTATATTCTTTTTTCATCAATAAAAGGCATACGAATTTACGCCTTCATTTGAGATACACTGCGCGAGTGATATTAACGTGATACTCGCGTAGTACCGCGCAGTTGGTACCGTCGCCATGTTGGCCTCTGTTATGAGAAGCATCGCGGAGCGTCGCGGACACGCAGCGGACCGGTCTCCCCGCGCCGACGGTCGCCGTGACGCTTTTCGCGACGGTGGTGAGTAAGCGCTGGTCGAGTTGAACAATCGCGGCGTAGATTATTAACTCACGCGCCAGCGATCCACCAAGACGCCTAAATCTCGCGAGAATCCCCGGCCGGGTCCTCGCCGGGCGCCGCGGGTATGCAGAGCTTCAATTTTAACTCGCGCCTCTTCGCGCGTGTAGAAATACCCGGGTTTTCCACGCGGCGCGGCGAGAGAAACGTTGCCGCGAGATCGTCCCGCTCAACGTGAGAGACGCGTCAAGCCCCGCGTATCTCCGAATCCTTCTCGCCGGAACGTTCCCGCCATTATTTTGCGCGACGCCGTCGTGGCGGCTCGTATTCCCGCGCGCGATTCTATCTCTTTTTCCTCGTTCTCGCTGTAACGGAGCTCGCGTCGATTCACGCCGGGAGTGCCGTGTCGCGCGTTACTTGGATATCATTAGCTCCTTTTTCGCGAGTGCCGCGTTATGCTGATTGCGAAATGGAGGATTCTGAGAGGAAGCGGCGGCCTGGGAGGCATCGGGCGGAGCAACCTTTTGGTGAGCAATTTATGCATTATTCTTGCAGGTCCAGTTATGTGTGCAGATTTTCTTGTATTTCTGCTGATGTGCCGGCAATACATTGAATATATCAATTATCTGTTCCGACAGATTTGGTTATCTGGGCAGTCACTATTAGAGCCTATCTCATAATAGGGAACTTTACTATTATCATAATTTTATATAGAAATAAATATGTTTATACATAAAGTAATGTAAAAAAATATATCAAAGAAAGAGGAATGCACTCTTTTACAATGGGATTTTTCGGAATTGAAATTTGCGAGTGTTTATTATGATAATTGCGAGTCTCCCTATTCTTAACATCCTCGTCAATTGATACACAATTGGCGAATTATGAGTAACGCTTCACTGGGAGCTGAACGGCGTTTCTGTGATGCATTTCTCACTTTATTTACTTTCTTCGTTTTTTAACAAAACGATGGTGATCACAATTAGATAGATATCAGTCGCTCGCACTTAACGAGGCGATCGAGGAACTATCTTCTTCTTGCATTCCTGATCGCCATTAATCTTAATTCATTCTCTTAAATGACGTAGGTGACACAATATTCCGCGAGGTGGTATATACAAGATAATTGGTAGAAAATTTAGTTTGCAGGTTTTTTCTAAAAGTAGCAAGTAACTGTGTAGTAGCCATTAAAACGTAACTTCAATAACGTTCAAGTACTACTTTAGATTGGGACTTATTTCCTAACTAAAGTTCATCTCCAATTTAAATAATTCCTCGTTTAACGTACACGCTTCTGTCTTGTAACAAAAACGCGTTGGTCCTTAAAACCGAGTTTTTACAGCAATAATTTTAACAAATATACATATCTAATATAAAGGAATTGAATTATACAAAGCGCGAAAATAACTAAAAAGGAATTCTTCTACAACTCACAATATGTGCAGAGTTTACGACGCAATATAAACTGTAGCATCGATAAAATCATCAGGCTCTGATACTCAGTCAATATTTAAGTATATCTAAATAAATTGATCTCTAAGAGAGTGAAAAGTGAGTTTTAAAAAATGGAAAAACGAAAGATAAGAAAGGTGGCATATATAAGCATCACTTTCGAAGCGCTATATGATTCTAGAGATGAGTACAGTAAAAATGTGATCCTATTACGAGTTAACAGGGCGACCTTCATGTACATATGTTTCTCAGCAAAGTAAACGGTAGATTTTTATCGAAATACGATATAATTTTTAAATAATATATATAATATATACGCAGTAATTGTGTTGATCGATTGATATAGTCTTGGCGCACGTTCGTTGCTGGAATCTCGATTGGGAGTAATGTTTCGTACATTCACGTTAGTACTGGCTGGTGCTAAATATTAACAATCGATTTCGGATACTCGGCCATCTATAATCCCATGGAGTAGCGGTTCCCAAATTTTCAGTACGAATAAAACGAATGCAAACGTGGTATCTAGTGACGCGGCACAAATATTAATTTTCAAAAATTAATAATAAAGTACGAATTATCTGCGCTATATTTTTAAGAAGAAAATTTAAATCCAGCAATTACGTGATTTTCCAAGATTATTTCTTAATTAGACTCCTTCATCTTTTGAAAACATATAAGCATATGTCTTCCTGTTTTTATCACCACGTATTACGTATAGTAATACGAATAGTTTTACTGCTTAAAATAAACCCAACTATAATTTGAGCACCGCTACAATAGGGTGATCGTGAATATGACGTGCGGGATTATCCTCGTGTGTACTACATCGCCGTCAAGAAGCACAGCGTCGTCCACCTTTATACAAAAGATTCGTATACAGCCTGCTCGGGAGGATCGGATGATGCAGGATCAACGTGCCATCCGCTATTTACAGCCGCTATTACAGACAAAAATGATCTGTCGCAACAGGAGAGATCCTCGGTCTTGGAACATCTCAGCGGAAGTATCTCGTTACAGCACGATAATGTCGGGGTTGAGATACGGCTTCGTGGGTCGCGTTAACGATCACGCTCGAATTACAATTAATCTACGGGCTAATGATTACATCGCGCTCTTCGCTTCTCTACGTCGCACTATATAACTACGATAAGGGGAGACTGGCCAGAACGTGCGCAATTTATTATTGCTTTGGCTATGATGCGTAGTGTAATATCTTATTATTAGCGTATCGGTTATTCTTTCGTAGAAACAATTAACGTTACGCGTTAGCGAACGGAGCGAATCTCGTTCTCGCCGCGGATTCAACCGGAGAAAATTCCGCATGTAACAAATCGACGCAACTATGCGAGGTTTTGTCTTTTCCTTTTTCACTTTCCTCGTCTCTTTCGTTCGTTTCGTTCGAGCGAAAGAGTTGCCGAAATCTGTTCTTTCATTTTTCCGCTTTACACTCGCCGTTTATTTCGGCTCTCGCGCATCTAACTCCAACTACTCTACGTTACATTCGCCGTAGACATAAACTGCAAGATGACGAATTGCAGGCAACGCTGGCTCGGACTACAAACAGAACACACGCAAGTCCGTGCCGTAAAGAGTAACTTTGTTGCATCGCAATTGCAGCAATTCGCGCGGCAGCAATCTCTGCCTCACGGGATTTCCGTTCCAAAGGAAAAAGCGCACGGGAAACAATGTGGTCGATTAATCTCGCTCGGATAGTTTCTGTTGCTTCTTACCGGTTTTCGCCTGCAGCCGAATATCAGGAAGATTAAGGAAACATTAATCGCTGTCGTAATGCGAGGAATCGTGTTCCACAGTAAACCAACAAGAAAGATCATCATACAGATCTGCGGCACGAATGTTAAGTTACGCGAATTGTATGCGGTAGTGACGTTCTTTCTCGTAAACGCGAGCAGCGTTCTCGCAGCTTGCCTACCTACGCTAAATTGCACTGTCGCTTTTTGCACGCGGGCCGAAACGTTCTTACTCCTTCTTGAGCGACAATTCGCACCGCGCGTACTTCCTTACGGAGTCGCCGTTTCGAAAGTAAAATGTCTCTTTACTCCGAGCAGGAATTTCTTAGTACTTCTCTACCTTGTCTATCGCACCCCTTCTATCTCTCTTCTGTCACAGTGTCGAGGAACGCTCTCTTCAGTGCCTAACGTCCACCTCATCTGTCGCCTGATTCTCCAATGTGCATGGTCTATGAAACTCTTGACCTCTTTCGTGCAGCCATTTGTTCGCCACTAAAAGAGAAATTGTAATACAATACTTGCGAAATGAAATATTTAACTTTAGGAGCCAGAAAAAACATACCCCATTTCGAGCCTGTAAGTACCGGACAAGCCGCGTGTCTGGTTTTAAAGTCTCCCTCGCCGTTAGGTTTCAGATTATGCCAAAACGCCGCACTACCCTTCTTCGGCCAGAGCGATATGTTGATGGCGGTGAACACGGTGCCGCCTCCCTGTTCGACATCACTCATCTGTGGACAATAAGACAACGTTACATCTTCATTCCAAGCAACACGAACCGTAGAAAATTAGAACTTACGTAGTACAGAACCGTCGCAATTCTGTTGCCAGTTCCGAGGCTCTTGAACGCATTCGTTTCTTCTTTCTGTAATGCGAGATTAATTAGCATAAGGGGAAATTGGTGCGCGCGGAAGAGCGTTCCAATTCAGCCTTTATGGTCAACTTACTCTCGCAAAGTCGAAATGTGGCTCGTAGTGGCCGCCGATGCCATAATTGACAACCTGAAGTTCCTCGGCCGTCTCCACGGACATGCTCGTCATGTGCTCGACGCGTTTACTCACCGCCGCTACGTGCTTATGCTCGTGTTCTTGGAGCCACGCGCTCTTGCTGATTCTGTAATTCGCTATCTCTAAGGCACCAGTCTTGTAATTCTGCACCGTAGCGCGCTTAAACTGCAACACGTAATTGCCATTATCTTGAGGAATTCTCGCAATTTCGCGGCGTCGGGCGCGCGCGCGCGCGCGGAGACGGTGCCGCGTTTGTGTTTCAGCGGGCGATAATTTCCGATAAGTGCGACTATTTACCCTAGGTTGAGCCATCCGCTTGATCGTCTCGATTTCCTCGTCGTATATCGCGTTGTGATAAACAACTATCCTCGGATCCAGATACGCCTCCTCCTCCTTGAACGGCGCGATCTTCAGGAAGGGAATTCCACGGTCGACGTAACGGCACTTGAGACTCTTCTCCACCTCCGGCGGAATAGATACTTCGCCGCGACAAAGCATCTCGTACCTCTCCCTCTCCGTCATTTCCTCCCACGTTTTCACCCTTTCCTCGGCGACAGTGAAGTTCTGCAAGCGCGATAACCAACTTTATGGACGCTCGCGGAAAACTCGGATTGCTCGCCGAGATTTCGCATCGTTGAAAATAATAGCCGACGAAAAGTTCCCCATTGTTTCGCGGTATCTTTCGCGTTAAGCACGAGATAAACGACAAATTAATTTGCCGCAGCGAATCCAATAATTAGTCAAAATGTACATTTCCGTGAGTTGTATTTAAATTGCAACACCCTCTTAATTACGTTGACGAGGATCACGGCTGATCGCGGTTAATCCTGGCTTTACCTGTTCGGGTATCGCTGTATCGTCCTTCCCATCCTCACCGCGCTTCTTTTTCGACTGGCTCGCCTTGCTTTGGATCTCCTTTTGATAATATGCACGGTTTCCCAACGCTCTCTCGTGTGTCGGCACCAATTCGAGCAGCTCATTCGTCATGCTCAAAGCGCGGGCGACGTTACCTGGCCGGTCATAAAAACGGAATAACATATTTGAAACGTGCTGGCAGAAAAGCAAGGCTTTCTTCCCATAGAAATTTTTCCCGCGCCCTTCGCGTCTACGACATGCATAATATATTGTAATTTACTGTCGGAACCTTGCATGTACGTCGAAAACGCCAAGTATTCGAGAATGTCGGGCTTGGAGGTGGTGGTGGTGGCGTTCTGCTCCTCCTGCAGCCGGTCCATAGCCTCCTGCATCCACAGCACCGTGTGATAGTAGTCGCGATTGTGATAAGATTGTCGGCCCAGCTCGAAGCAGTCGCTCGCTGAAACGTGGAAATTGTGACGCGTGACGCAAGTGGAAAATAAAACGGGAAGAGTGAATATACACGCGCGCGCGTGCAATCTGGATCGCGTTCTATGCAATTTCTTCCCATTCGGCTCGCACGCGATAGCGCGGGCGTGGCATACTGATAGCGGAAAAGTTTGTTCGTTAATTAATTTTCCTTCCGCGCACCGCAAAGCGCGCTCTTAGTCTTTCTCCGCGCCGCGGAAATTCCCCGCCTACCGTGCGCGCCTTTTTTTCATACAAATAATTTGGAAAAACTAGCGGCACGTTGCACGTTGTTAATATGAATGACTCTTTGTGCTACAGCGAGCCCGGTCTCTCCTCGTCGGATTTGACGTTACATTAGAGAGGACGCGGTTCCTTTGCAACAGTTTCGTAAAGGTTCAGAGAAATTTTAATTAAATTTCCGAGAGAAAGAGGAATTAGGTAGAGGGACATCTCCGTATATACTGCATTAAATATCATTTCTTCGATATAGAAATTGAAGTTTACTTTCGAGTGAATGGGTCGTTTGACGTGTAAGGCTTCCGGGATACTTGTAACATAAATTGAGTCATACAGTTGACGCAAGGAGAGATGCTATACGTACCGGTCAATCCGGTACTGTATTGCACACCATTCAGGACACCCCTCGCAACTTGCGCGGTTTCGAGCTTGTACGTGTCCTGCAGCCTCATCAAAGCGACTGCGGCTCCATTCAGGTCCTCGTCGGTCGGGAATTTTAGATCGCTCCTGGAATTCGTGATGTTGGCGACGAAAGACTTGCCGACGTCCTCGGTTATCAGCTCCTCGACCTTTTTCCAGTCGGTGGTCAGCCGTTTCACTAGCAGATAAGCATTTATGGGGTTCGATAGGTACTGCTGGATGTTCCTGGACGCCTCCTCGTGCTCCCTCGCGTAGCCCTCCACGTTTCTGAAAGGAAACATTTTCCAATCAGCTGGAAAAAGTTGCGGGAAAAAAACTAAATTAATCCTTTCGCCGCTCGCTTCGTTTAAATTCAATTTGGAAAATAGCTCGCCACTAGACGGAAACGCAGTGAAGCTTGTAAAAGATCCAAACTTTTCCACGGATGCGATTAGATTTGTAATATATTCCTATGTAATACCTGAGTAATATAACAAAGTAGAAAGAGAATTGTACATCTATATATGATTTTTATATTATATTATATAGGGATACAATGTAGCAACACAAAAAATAACTTACTTCCTGTTTATAGGGAGGCTTTACGATTCGATTTATCATTATTGCTGTTATCTAACGATAAACTTTCTAGTTTATCAAATTAAGAGTTTGAATGGAGTAAAAAATTGTTTTAATCCGAAAACAAGAGGGTACTCCTTACATAAATCTGAATATAGACTCACTCGGTCATGGAAGGACTACATCGGTAAAATATATATTTATTAAATTATTCGGTTTATATAAGCTAATAACAGCGCAATCTTCGGTCGACGGGATCGAAGATTATCGATATTAATCTGACCTGCTGTCGTTTGCAGCTCGGGGGGATTAAATTTAGATTCAGTCGAATAGATCCCGCATGAGATCTAATGGCACGGTGTAATTTATTAGCCAGTGTTTGAAAGCTTCCTTTCTAGATTATTCAACCGGTCTCTCTCCTTGCACGTAATCCGCGTAATATTAATGCTATGCCGCGCGAATTTCAGCTGAATTGGTTTCTAAATAGAGTAGACTCCACAAACAAAAGTTCTATGGATCGCCCTCGCAGCGGGTTTTGTCGTATTCTCTTTGACGACTTTGATTAATTCACACTGTAGCAGTCTATTTTTTTTTCGATACCAACGCGCTTTGTTTCTCGTCTTTCTGGTTCCCCAATTTTTCTCCGTATATGAAGTGAAAGGCTTTTCATGCATCTTGACATTTTTATTGGGTCAAAGTGAAAAACTTACTTTCAAACTGATTAAAAAACCGTATACAAGAGGAAGAGAGAGAGATATATATATATATATACATATGTCTTATACGCGATTCATTGGACGAAAATAGGGTCGAAGCAAGGAGAGATGATAAAATCGATTTACCTATACACTTGAGGGAAAAGCTTGAAACTTGTCCCACCGCTGTCAGATAAAAAATCTGACAGAGAAGAAAAATTATCATTCCGCTCTCAAATTAATATAGTACGATAGCCGCACGGTCATCAAGTAATTTGAAGTCGCACGAATGAAGGGAGAAAGAGAGGGAGAAAAAGAGAGGCGATGATAACTTTTCTTATCACCGGGAAAAGGGAGCAAGGTAAAACATCCCGTTCCGTCGTCTCCAATTGCAATCAGGGGGGTGATTCTATCGCGATATCAACCCCGCGGCGAACGGCAGAGACGTTTCCGACACCTGGCGACACCATTGTCCCCGACGATGTCGCCCGACGACGCGGCGGGACGTTCTCTCGAGAGGTGGAGAAAGAGACGACTTATCTCGCGTCGCGAATCTCTGAAATAGATGTCCCTGTCGATTCGTCGTCGCGTTTAATGTATAGCCGAGACGCGGGGGACTTTTTCGCGCTAAAAACTCAACGAGGGTCTCTGTGTGATCGAGACACCTTCGGCGTCTCGCGTCTCGGAGAAAAAGTCGTGACAGAAGTGCATCACAGTGCGAGGAGACATAAGTCAAGCTTCTCACGAACGGGTCGGGGAAACTAATGATTTTCTCTTCCGTCACGTAGAGATGTATCAAAATGGGACAGACATACTCTCTACAATTTTTCGGGTGAAATTTTCACTCGAAAATCACGGTGTCACTGACCCCCTCGCTCTATTCGAGTGAATATTTGCTCCAATAAAGTGAATTAGTTCGTTCTAAGACAAAAAGTGAAATTGCAGACTCCCAGACTCCAAAAGAGTGAGATTCCACTCCACAAAATTTAGAGAGTATTCACCGTATATTGTTTGCAATAATTTTCTTTATAAACGCAGAGGCAAGTTCTCTATTACGAGATAGTAGGTTTTCAACGTCGAAATTCGATTACACAATCTAACAATTGATTTTCCACTAAACAGATTTCACTCCAAGGGCGATAAATTCGCGGTGGAACCAATAGACCATGTCTGTTAATTTAGCAGAAACCCCGCTATCTCATATTAGGAGCCTATTTCATAATAGAAGACTTTCCTCTTTGTAGATTAACGAATGAGAATAGATATGTCATCGGGAATAACATGTGCTCCGCGAAGGCATTTGACCTCGTACACAATTTCCTTGATGAAAATTACCTCGACGTGAGGAAGGGGCTCGGCTATTAACGGTCTCACTCGCATGCAAATCATGTTTCGTCGAGGAGAAATCGCGCGTGACGACGTGACTGTCACAGATGCGTCTGTCCCCCTCCTCCCGAGATACACCCCTGTTTTCTAATTCTCTTGCAATAATTCTGCTGACAATGAGCAGTAAATTCGAACGTTCGCTTATTCAATCCACGACAGGCGGATCGTTAGCGGAGGTGTCTGAACGATAGGAGTCATATAAATTACGGGAATAAACGCGGCAGATGCACGTGACTTGAAACGCTTCTCTCCTTCCCTCTCTTTTTATCTCATCTCCGCGAGACGTACGCCTCGCACCTGACATTCGCAGCTGCCGCGAATTGCGAGCGGTCGGTATGCGCTTCGCGTCCGAGCGCCAATCGGTTGGTCCACTCGTTACGGCCCGAATAAATCCGGGCCGTCAACATCCAAATACATTGCGTCGCTGCGCTGATGGATCTTAATCCGTTCCATCCCTCGGGGCGGAGTGCACGTGCGCACACGCGCATTATTTATGATCGCTTAAGTGCATCGCGGTGAATCGGCGCGACAAATATAATTAATGAGTGCATGTACCGGCACATGCTCGTGCACATGCACTGCCGAAAGTGCAACGTTCGCTCTCGAGAACCGCAATAATTTTTCATTAAGACTCCGTTCCCTCTTGACGCTAATTGAAACGAAAGGGACTTGGCGATATATCTTGCGCTTCGATCTACCATCGAGAGACAACGTAAACGAACTTTCCATTTAATTATTTCATTGCATCGTACGAGAAAGAGAAAAATACATATTTTCTATGTGTCGAATGTCGATCGCTGATAGGATTAGCTCCCCTGGAATTGAACGGGTTATCCTGGCGATTTATCTCAGGCGTACGTCGCACAATCCACCCTCCCCCAACATCATGATTCGAGAGAGGTGCCTGTTATATAGAGAGAACGCTTACGGCTAAATGACACGTCTCGATACGGCTTTATTAAAAACGGAGCATCGTGCGAAAGACAGGCGCAGTCTCTTCCTTTCTTTCTTTTTTTCCCTCCCTCCCTCTCTCTCTCTCTTTCTCTCCGCGCTCTCGATAACGATATAGTTCTTTGTATCACAGCGCCGAGCCAATAACGAAAGCCGTCTCGTTAGCGCGATTTTTCACCCCGTTCCTCCCGGGCTGTCGTGTCAGCGCATTCTCGCAGCGGCCGCGCGTCGCCGACGACAGATTTTAATTAACGATACGCGCGCGCGACCGGCATGCCGGTCCGCGCCTCGAAAAGGATGATCGGTCCCGGTTTTCCACCTCTGCCGTGGTTTCCACTCTCACCTTTCATCTCCCTTCAACGCGGCTGACGTCGCACCCGTACCTCATACAGCTCGGAGGCGCCGCGCCGCGCCGCGGTACAGGCGGTCGGTGCTCCACGAACCTCCCGCTTCTTTGATCTTGACGAGAGATTATTTTAACGGAGCTGGAAAGCTCCGAGCTTTCCCTGACCACCTTGTGTGCGAGGTGCTAATATCTCTGAGTTCGCGAACGGGTTAAAACTCGGGAGAGGGGGACTCCAAGACAAAGGGAGTGCAGTGCTAAGTGAGAGGAATGAAGGGAAGGAAAAAAAAGTTCACTCGGCTCCTAGAATTCGCTCTCAGGCTTTACGTCGTTCTCGGCGCTTCGCGTGGAAGAGAACCAGGTCGGACTGCGTCCGTCATAGAAAATTGTAGCGTAATTGTTACAAAGTACGAATATCCAGTTTAAATTCGCGGCGAAAATACGTGTACTCCGCGGGAAGAATCTCTCTCTCTCTCTCTCTCTCTCTCTCTTTATCTGCAGGTACTTTAATCTCCTCTTTCACATTTTTCATGAACATCGAGCGCGCTTTATGCCGTATTTGCCGCCGCCTCCGGTCAACCTTCATGACACTCCCGGGGGTGTTTTTCTCCATTCGCGTCAGCCGCGCAAATGGAACAGCTCCGGTGCGTACACGGCAGAGTGCGATGCGCGAGAGACAGTGGTGGATCTCGCGGCATGTTTCGGGGCTGCTGTTTTGTGCACGAGTGACAAAACTACAACGAGTCGTTGAAACAAAAACGCTCGTAAGAGACGATATAAACTACACATATAAATAGGTATATAATAATAACGTGATAATAAAATACACAATAGAAAGCAAAAACAGACACCTGTCAAATATTACGTGTACGAATTACGTTACTTTCTCTCCATCTGTAACTGTAACTTAACTCAGTTACATCAATAGTTACTTTATATATATATATATATTTCAAACCTCCACAGATCGCATTAGGCCTTGCCTTTGCGCATAAACGCCTTTATCGACACTTAACAATTCAAATGCAGATTTGATATTTCTATTTTCATTACAAGAGAGTAACTGCAACTATGCATGTTTGGCGAAAAAACTGTAGCTGTAACTAGATACTTTTATAAAGTAACTTCCCCAACCCTGCTGTTAACAAAGAGTTAGCACACATTGTTTTCCATTTTATAACAGATATAAACATGTCATACCTATTACATCTGGCCAAACACTTAATGCCAGCGTAATGTTTGGATCATGCAAATGTTTCATTTCCGACATGAAATGTCCGACATGAACAGCACAATAGACGACATAGATGCGCAGCAAGACGCTAATGTTTTATATCTATTACACCTGGCCAAGCACTTAATGCTAGCATAATGTTTGGATCATGCAAATGTTTCATTTCCGACATGAAATGCTAGCAAACAACAGCACAATAGACAACATAGACGCGTAGCAAGATTTTAATTTTTGTTAGAAATATGAAAGCAACTTGTGCGCACACTAGTTATCTGGGCATTATTAATTTTGTTTCCCCAACAGTCTGCGTCATAATGGCACTCCGTTAAATCGCCTTGATAATTAAAGCTCGATGCGCTCTTCTTTATTCATCCGCCTCATGGTCCCGCATCTGCTAAATCCACCATTCGCAAAGTGGTCGCCAGTCGGAAAGGCTTTCAACCCCATCCACCGCGCGACGCGACGCGACGCGACGCGACGCGACAGCGGGGGACCCGTCGCTCTTACGCCTCAGCCGCCCCCTTTTTCAATACTTGAGCCCCTCTCGGGGAAACTCCCGCGAGAGGATAATGGCGATCGTCATTTAGTCACTCGGCCGACGCGGGCGGCGCGGAGGATTTGCATGAAAATTTACCGTTACGCGGGGCTCCTGCCTCCCTGCAGATGCAACTTGGTGCCGCGATAAAAAGCGAGGGGAAAGAGAGAAAAAGAAAATGCCTTCAGCGTCAGTTGCAACGTTCCGAGAAATTATTCATAAACTTCAATTTTTATGTCCTCGTGCAAGGGCGAACTCGCCGTTCGCCGATTATTCTTTCAGACGCCCTCAAGAGTGACTCCGGAAAATTGTTTTTTAACGTGGGTCAGGGCAGACGACGCGATACCGTCGCGAAATTCCTGGATCGTAATATTTAGCAGCATAAAATTATTACAACATTTTCTTCCCGCCGAGCGTCAATCGAGGGCGTATCGCAGCCCCTGCGGGATTGCAAAGGTAAATCTCTGTTACACCGACCGAGGAGGCTAACGAACATATCCCTTTATAATCTACGGTCAATAAAGACGGCAACGAGCTGCGCGCATGCGCGCCGACTGGCGCGCTCGGGTCGACGCGCGCCGTCGCCGTCGGCCGCCGGCGGCGCCGTCAGTCGGAAACTTCTCGTCGTGCGAATGGTAGACGGCGATGCCGAGGTCGACGTGCCGGTCTTCGTCGTCTGTGTGACGCGAAAATACGAAACGCCCGTTGGCCGTGCGCGCACGAGGAACAAGAGAGGAGAGTAAGCGAGAGGAGCCGCGCGATGCCCCGTGACGGCTGACGGTTCTGTGACGCGAGTTCCTCGTCGAATCGACCACGATCGCCCCCATCATGGCGGCTACGGAGCACGAGCCGAGCATGAGCAACGGAAACACGCCATATCTCACGGACTTCCCCGAGCGGGTGCGACACGGCTGGTTCAGACTCAATGACCCGGATACGGTCCTCACGTGCGAGCCGCTGCGCAACGTCAACATTCGTCTGTACGGCAGTGTTAACTGCAGAATCGTTGGTAAGAGAGGCAGCTACGAGTGGAGTTTCGTCATCCTCGCGACAGGTAAGACGAGCCACCTTGTCTCTACGACTTTTTCATTACTTGCCGGAAAAGCGCCAAGCTGTAAAGATTCGGCGTCGTTGACACCGGCACGGTGTTCTTTTGATAAATCGTCATTGTTGTCGCTGAAACCTCGTGTCCCTAACGCTACGCCGTTTCGCCGGCGATGACGGGAGCGAAGAATATTTCGAGTTAACGTTTCCAAACTTTACACGCATAATCATTTTATAATCGTTGAAGAATCTTCAAACTTGATCCTTGATCAACTACGGATAAATCGACACGCTCCGTTTTTCTCGCTCGTCATCGTCCATTTGTTTCCGATTTGAAAATGTACTTGGAACGTACGAAAAATCCAGACGCGCGCGCGCGCTACAGTAGAGAGAGATTGTATTCGTAGCGTTTCGACAATCGACACATTAATGCCCCTGTCAATCCTCGGTCCCGAAGGCGGTCAAGAGTTACGGAATGTGGCCTTGATATCTGACGATCATCGAGCCAACTTCTTCCTCAAGTCAGTGCGAGACCAGGACGGCGCGGAGATCGGCGTGACAAACAGCCAGGAGTGGCACAGTCCCGAGCCGTACAGCTCTCAAAAGAATACAAGGCAGTACCTGGTGACGGTCGGTTTCACCGCCAAGAAACACGGCACGTATCGGCAGGACCTGGTTTTCGGCTTCTTAAGTCGTCCAGGATACCTCCAGAGGATCTGCGCGGACTACCTGCACATCAAAGACTACGAGCGGATACAGAGGGCGACGAGTTATCAGCAGTCGCAGATACCGCCGAGATGGAGGGACCCGTATGGCTTCTATTCGCCCTTCATGCCTCACACCGATCCGCGAGAGATCAAGCTGGCGCGGATCTACCCGTACCCGGACAAGGAGAACTTTGTCCTAACTCAGAACACGCTGTCGGACAATCGGTTGACGCCATGCAACTATCGGGGTCGCATGCACGAGATGATCACCCTCGAGGAGATCGCCCGGAACGAGCAGCTCTCGAGATACAACCAGTTCTCGTGGTTACGCCTCACGGCGCACTATGTGCTGTTCAACAGCGACGGCTCCACCATCGCCAAATACACGCCGCCGGGTGAGCTCTTCGCTCAGGTGCGATTCTTTCTGGTTTCTAGGAGACCTCCCCCTTGCCTTAACTTTCCGTGATTGTACATACTGTTCTCTCTCTTTCTCTCTCTCTCTCTCTCATCCGCTTATGTCCAACGTGAAATTTATTGCCACTGCAGATCCCACTCAGTCGGGACATCTTGGAGGATACGCAGAGCGGCAGACTTCTGCAGCGTAGCTGTAATAGCGTTCTACTCAAGTTGTTGCACAAGAAAACCAAGCATAGCGTCTTTGAGGCTCACATCGAAGACAAGAGCTCGCACTCCGTATATGTGAGACTTAGCAAAGAGTGCGTGGCCTCTTGGAATTTGGAGGCGCACAACGAGCTCGAGGTCGAAATACAGTTTGTGTTGAACCGTCTCAACTTCTGCGAGTGGCACTTGGCGGTGGACAGTCTCGAGGACATAGACCTAGTATTCGTGGACGAACACCACAAGACTGACAACGAGATTATCCGCGGCTTCCTGCAGGTTGACGCTGGTAATCTCAGTATCCTCTCTAGTCTACTTCTGGACTCGCCGCTCAATCAGGAACAGAAGCAAGCAGTCACGGCGATAACCTTATCGATTAAGACTTGTTCACCGCCAGTCCTCTTGCTGGGACCGTTCGGCACGGGGAAGACATTCACCATAGCGCACATGCTACGTATGCTCGTACAAAATACAAACAACCGAATACTTTTGTGTACGCACAGCAACAGCGCCGCCGATCTTTACATCAAGGATTTCTTCCACGTCTGGCACATTCAGGATAAACATCCTAGACTTAGACCCGTTAGGATATATTACAAATTGCGCGCTTTGAATACGGTAGGTGAACAACGTTGCCTAGTTTCTTGAGCATTGCAGGGAGAACTGTATCAATGGAGGCTTGGTTATTCTCGCGATTTAGGTGCATCCGACGGTGCAGAAATACTGCCTAATGGACCAACACGGTCGTTTCCGCGACCCGGTTGCGGCAGATTTTCAAGACTGCGGTCTAATAGTAACCACTCTGGCAACATCCAGCTGTCTGATGAACCTTCAACTGTCGCCGACTCACATCGTCATTGACGAAGCGGCCCAGGCCATGGAGTGCGAAGCGTTGATCGCTCTGTCTCTCGCGAACCGAGAGACTCGCCTGCTACTGGCAGGTGATCAGATGCAACTCGCGCCGGAAATCTACAGCGTACTGGCCAACGAGCGAGGATTAGGCATTAGCCTTTTGGAGAGATTATACGCCTACTATCCGCCGGAACATCCGTGTCGGATACATCTGTGTCAGAACTATCGCGCGCACGCGGATATAATCAAGTACACCTCCGAGACGTTCTACGATGGGATGGTTAAACCTGCCAACGTGCAACTGCTCAAGCACCCCGTTATGAAACCGTTGATATTTTATGCCGTTAACGGCGCGGAAGAACAGGTATATGGGTTACTTGCCAAGCATCACGAAAAATGTACAATTGAAAAGTTTGCTGCAATCTATCTACGAATCTTGCGTACCATTTCAGATTATCGTTTTACTGTATATATTCGCAGGTTAATGCTTATGGGCCATTCGCCCATCGACAAAATATTACACTAAATCGGATCTTCCTAACGAGATTCGACAATGGATAGAAAACTGTTTCTTCGCACAAGCACAAACTCTTCAATTGAACTTTCAGAAAAGAGAACGTTCAGATCGACTTCTGATTGTTAGGCTTCGTATTCCACGGGATATCACCACGCCACGGAGGCGGAAGAGGTAGCGAATCGTGTTCTGGAATTGAGGAGAGCATGGCCGACGCAACAATGGGGCCCGTACAATGAAGGCTCCATCGGAGTCTTGTCATATTATCCCGAACAAGTTCAACGATTGCGAATCGAACTGCGCAAGCGCCTGCTTTCCGACGTGTCTGTCGAGAGGGTGTTAAACGTCCAAGGCAAGCAATTCACCGCAGTTTTTATCAGCACAGTCCGAACAAGGATATCTGACAGGTATCGGCTTTGGTGGCACATACACACCTTTAGATAACACTCGGACGTGGTATCGATTCTTTCGATTGTTACAGATCGTCTGCCGAGGTAAAAATCAAGGACTATGGCTTTCTAACAGATCCACGCTTATTAAACACCGCGTTAACAAGGGCCAAGTGTTTCGTGGCGGTCGTAGGCGATCCAGTTGCTTTGCTTACTATAGGTTGCTGCAAAGATCTGTGGAAGAAATATCTAGAAGAGGCTGACTTATACGGGATGGATCGAAAAGAATTGCAGACGCACCTCAATCAGGTTTCCAAGATCCAAATATCACCTTTAAACCCGCATGCGAGGGAATTTTTCCCCAGAGCACCGCCTTTGTGCTTGGTTCAGTATATTCAAGTGCCGGTTTTGTATCCGTTAATGTATCCACCGCAACAGCCAATGTGATAAAGGACACGAAATCCAACGATCTTTTCGAGATACGGCAATCCGTTTTAATCCTCGAACATCACACATGATGTTACGTTAACCTAGTTCAAATTTGAAACACGTGGCATTTTGACTTACATATTCTTGTAGATTACTGACTGACGTATCGATTGCAAAAAATTAATTTTATTTGATATTTTAGAACCCGAGATACAAGCAAGAGATATTCTAACTCAGTGTGATGTTTCAAAGTGGCGACTGATGTGTGGTGTTTGAGGGTTGAGAATCTCGAAAATATTATGTTTTGCTGTTACTACTGTCAGCACATCCTTCGATCGTATCGATCGTCGCAAAATGAGCAACTATACTGTACTTTTGTTATATTGAACGTGTGCATTTTGCAATTTTTCATTTGTATGATAGTATGAGTGTCTACAATGTGTAAGCTGTAAAGAATAGAGCGGGGTTATTTTGCCCAGTTAAAAAACAATGGAAAAAAATTTCGAAATAGGGAAGGGCTTCTTGAATTTCTTTTTCTTAGCTGAACGAATAGTCCCGTTCTACTTTTTATGTAAAGTGTATGCTTATTTATGTGTACTACAGGAGCGTTCATTGACGTGAAAATATAAATCTTTACTTTTTGATGTACTAATGAATTATCTACTAACGAGTTGTTAGGAAAATATACGATTATCATAGCTCGAATGCATTTGATATTAACGATTTGTTAAGTTTCTTAATACGCTCTTTTTCTTTTATTTAGATGTTAAACAACATGGGCATCATTTCATATATATTTGTAATATGTACAGCGCGAGAATTCCATGATCATGTATATTAGATTTTCTTCGGATTCAACATCCTCAATTATAAACAAAATGCGTTTCTAAATAAAAGATACAAGATATATATGTATATACACACACACACACACACATACACATATATATTTTATGTAACTTTATTCTTATTTAGGAAGAATAAAAGTATAATTTCGTAGAAAAGCTTAAATATAATAATATTTCCCGATTCTTCTCGAGATCCAATATTACCGTATCCCGAACGCGAAGATACTGTTCTCCATTATGAACATTTAATAAACATCTTAAATGTCGCGTGTTAATTATCTCGTATTACTAACGCGAGATTACTCCTCGCAGGGAGGGGGGAGATGGTGTATCAGAACATATAATGGCGACAGGTACATCGCTGATACGCGAGCCGGGTATTGTCTAATGCCTAAAGGCAAAGCACGTAGGCCGCGTGTACAGACACGTATGCTACGTGCGTCTTCGATGTCCCAGCATCCACGAATATTCGATACGTAATTCTATGCCGCGACTTGTCTCCCACGCGATTCGATCTGCCACTGTTAGCAGTATCGTCTCGCGGAATATCCGTATGTTGATGCTGATTGAACGGGAGTGAGAGAGCTTTCTGTCTCAAAAATATTGCGAAACTATATGCGTTACTCGGCCGCTTTAGTAATTTAAACGATCACGTTACTTCAATTCGGGGCAAGGGGAACAGAAGAGATACAGAAGCGCTTGATAAGATATATAATTATAGGGTGTTCGGTATCTTTCGAAATATCCACGGCGCGGCCGAACAACGAATGCAAGCAAGCATAAAAATAACCGCGAAAGTGCGAGTCGTCACAGAGCAGAGACGACAAGCGAGCGAGCCTGTGAAGAGTTCGGAATAAAGTCCCTTGTTATCATCTCAGATGAGATCTCTGTGTCTCGTGAGAGACATGATTCTATAGAATAGATCTCACATAATTCTAAGGAAGATATAAAATTATCTCATATTCGCACACTGCTAATTGGTATTTGATGATATTGGAATGTGATTCGTGCTCAGGAGTGCGAACTTTACTGTCGGGTAGTCCAATCGGGGATTTTATCGGAGCAAGTTTTATTGAAAAATCTTAAGCTTGTTGAATATTCTGCCTTATCGCGGAAAATATTGCAGCAATCCCGGGGGTCGAATTTCACGTGGCGCATACCGCGCGATCGATTTCTCATGCGCAGCTAAAAGGAGAAATATTACCGGAATTCCATCGATAATTCCAATCGTGTTTCCTCTAATTACCGGAAAATTAAATATCGTCAGCGTACACGTGTGAATACGCAAGTTTGCGTACAAATATTACGTCGCCCTTTGCATTTCTTCGTCAGCCCGACCGAATGTTTTCGAGAAATGATTTACGATCGGACACGGTTGTAATTCCTCCAACAAACATTGGTCTTTATGCATATTTCACAAAAGAGATATCCGCGGCTGGAAACTCTAAAGAATCAGAATAATAGAATGTATCCGGTTTTTAAAAATTTGCGCCATCGTTTGCAAAGTCTGTTAACGTAAAAAATATTTTCCAATCCTTTTAGCGTGAAGAATGGCCGCGTGTAAAACCGCGCGCTTGTTTATCACAATATTTTACGTTCGCTCGCAAACATCTACGGTTAAGATCTGGCACTGTGTCGCCGCGGCCGGCCTTTGGGACGATAAAAAAGAAACGATGAAAGAGGAAAACCAGAAGCATGGCGCGACATTAGCAATGGCGATTAATGAAAGGTAACGAAAGTACCTTTAGGGGGTAAATAAGAAGACTCGAGGAAGACTCGTTTCTACGTTCGCCCATGCGAACCTCTCGAATCAACGATAAAAACAGATCGATCGCCGGGCGGGACGTTTAATTAGAAGCAAATAGTTACAGGGCGCGGACGCGCTTGTGATAGAACTTTGTTATCTTATCGGAGCCAATTACAACGACGCTCTCGCCATCCCGAGGGAGCGCTCCAACGGCCACCGGCACCACCGTAATCGCGATTATTAATACCAGTAATGGGGGGGGGGGGGAAGAGAGAGGGGCGCTTCCGGTGGTTGCATTTCGACCCGACTCGTTTGTCCTAGTACGAATCCCTAGTCTGAAAATTTAGCTTATCCGCCGAGGATATTTCCCTCCGTTAAACTATTACCGCCGTACATTCGCGTCCTATTTAACTCTCCTTCCTGGATACGCAAATGAATTATTGACGCGGAGAGTGAAACGAATCTCGATTTCATTCAGGGCGAGGAGCACGGGATGTTCCCTCGATCGACCAAATGAACGGAATTCTCGACGTCGTCGGTCTGCGCGCTTCGCATCAGCCAGCGCACCAATTTGCGTGCGCGTAATCGCCAAGTCGGATAAGAGCGAAGTCCGAAAATACTATCCTTGCTCGGAGCAGCGCCCGTTTCGTGAGCGAGATAAGACGCTTTTAATATCCGCGAACGACTTGCGGAACTCGCGCAATTATCTCGATAGATAGGGCGCCCCGTTTCGCCACGCGCGCGTGGGATAAATGAGCGATGTGACGCCGAACGACTTGGTGCGTATCCTCAAATGTTATTTCCGATGGAAAAGAATTGCGAACGATCGACTGTGGATCGCATATTAACCGATTATACCTCGTAATTGTCCTCCCGCGTGATTCTCGTTCGTTCCTATCGAATTGCGTTAAATAAAACGATCAATTTTCCCCGAGATGTGTATCGCGTATATACACGCGTGTCTTTCCCTTCGGTAAAATTACATCTGCGTTTGTTCCAGCCGCTATACTTCTCGGATTACAGAGAAAAATCCGAACGCTAAAAACAACACAAAAATTGTAAAAAAAATTGCGCCAGATATACATATCTCTGCCTCTCACAGTGATAAAAATCCTTTTTGTTTTTGTTTAAAAATATTTCTTCATCTGACAATGCGCAAAAATAATGATTGAAAATTCATTTAACAGCATGAAGGGGTGAGTGAAGTAGTAAGCGATAAAGCGAGAGATCAAGTATGTAAAGTTAACTCTGCATGTACCGAGATAAATTCAACATTGCTTTGCGATTCGACCTTCCTTTTCGCGTGGTAACGCGGAAGAATTTAAAACGGTACGCGATAAGGAAATATATATTTTGAAATTTCTGTAAATCCCGCGAAATAACATAAATTAATAGAGAATTAAATTCGCCTATTAAACGGGTCCCGCTTGCTTTCCGGATTGTAGAAAATACCCCGTTGTTCTCCCTGTGGATTCACGGGCAGATAAAACGGACGACACGTGCACTCTTGGCGTGTACGGTAAGCAGTGCATAAACGGGGTCGCAGAATCGTACGTTATCTCCATCCGTTGGCGTACGTGTGTCCATTATACGCGCGCTTTCGCGGCGCGTGTCTGCGCGCCTTCGAATTCCACTCGTATGAAATGGCGATCCCGTGACTAGATTGCAATCGCCGAACTTTGAACATCTATGCAAAACGGGAACGAGAAACGAAAAGCGCGATGGAGAGAAAAAGAGGAAGAGCCAGGTGCGCTGGCAGGCAGGCAGGCAGAAGGGAAACCCGTTCGAAACGGCGATATATTCTTCGCGAATGATTTTCCCCTCGCTACATATTTGATAGTTCGACTATGATGGACGGCTACGATGGTTGATTTATCGTTAGCTCGGAGAATCCCGGTAGATTGCAAACTACTCCGTTCGCATGAGTAATTATTCGACAGATAATGGCCTGATTTCGAAGCGAGACGCAAAGTTATCGTCGTTACGTTCCGCGTCTTCGGGGCGAGCGAGCGAAGAGGTCTCTGTCTAAAGGCCTGTGTCCACGATGCTAGAACTTGGTCCAAGTTGTAGTTTCGAGAAATGTGTAGCCAATCAACTTGCAGCTTTTATGGAATAGCTGCAACTTGATTGGCTACACATTTCTCGGAACTACAACTTGGACCGAGCTCTAGCATCGTGGACACAGGCTTCAATTCGCCATTTCGCTGCACATACACTCACATGGTATTTTCAACAGAATAAAACGAAGAGTTACCAGCTATTGGCTCAGAATCGCACATTGACCGATGACGGGATGACGGAATTACTTTTGCGCGCGAATGATTTTTGTTGTTGTTGTCGTCGAGATCGGGGTTTCTTCGTGTTGTATGTGTTTCACAACGTTAACACCGTCAGGCAAGTTATAAACGCGCCAAAAAGGGATTCCGATCGATCCGGAATTAACGATATTCGCGCGGAAGCGAGCCGCAGCCGCGAATGCGGTCTACGCAGGATTTTGGTGCGTGACCGCCGCGTGAATCCGATTGCGATCGGCGGGTTTTTGAATGGCCATAGAAATTGCGAGCACGGGGGATGAGTAAAACCCCGTTGGCGACACGACGAGCGCACGCTCCTCCTCATCCTGTCGCGTGTCGCGTGTCCGTGACAGGATTTTCTCGAGAGCGAGTCGCGCGCGCGCGCGGTCGTCGACTCGTGTGTTAAATTCCGTACGGGATCGTCCTACATAAATGTTGCTGAAAACTTTTCCGTTGTCCCGCGCGTATTACTCGTTTCGCCGCTCCCGTTGCGCTGGACAGAAATGCCTAAACTATCCTCGAGATTAATGGCACCGCGGTTTGCGAAACGAGTGCGTTGTTCCGCAGCCGGGAAACGGAAGAACGTATGCCCGGGAAGTTACTTTTTCTACAAAAAGAAAATCAAATCTGCGAAAGCTTACACCACGGACGATCAACTAATTAAATACCGATAAGTTCCATCAGATCCAAGATCACGTCAAGTAACTCCCGAGTTGAAATTTGTCTACTATTTTGGCACTTTTAAGGATAATTTACACCCACTTTGCTGATACACCTACATAGATCAGCAATAACCTACTTCGATGACATTATATTTTGGCTCCTACTTGAAAGGCAAAAGTAGGAATTTCCGACACTATCAGTTTTTAAGTAGAAGTAAATTTTGTACTTGCAGTTCGACCTCTTTTACTGTCTTAGGCCCTACTATATGATACAATTAAAGGTTCAACATAGGGCCAAAATTTCGACTCGGGATTTCAAGTTCGTACGAGGTAATAACGATTTTCAATCTAGTTATAATAACGCAACGATTTAAAACAAGTATAGGTAAACAGCGGCGTTGTTATACGCTATTCTTTTAATGATTACAAGCAACTTTAATGACTTGGTTTTTGCTCTGTAAACTATAAAGCTCATTTACCTATCGTAACCACTAGTAAAGAGATATAATTTCGATCTTACGCTTCTCCACAAAATTACGTAAATGGACTTGATCACTTTGGGATTCAATTTTACGATTATCTCACCAGCACAAGTGCTACCGATTTCAGTCGGATCGGGATCCAATCTTAATGTATTCGCTCTTTTCTTATTTCTTTTCGCCCCATTTCCTTTCTTATTCGCGAAAGGTGGCCGAAGGCATCGGTATCGAATCAGGCAGCATGCCAAATCGCACCCGCGGGAAGATAAAGAAAAAAGAAAAGGACAGTCAGTCGGGGCGGGGCCATTCGCCAAAGAGTCTCCCCATGAAATAGCCCTCCTTCCTTAATCACCTTTCGTTTTAACGGCCGCTTGTGAGACAAGTGGAACGAGGAAACCGTCGCGCCGCGCCGGTAAGTGCCTCGGTGATCCACTTTTCATGTTCGATGCTGCTCGCCATACAACCTCGATATCGCGCATTATTTTTTATTCGGCCTGCGTTTAATTAATGTTGGTGTCACGCCGATCGATAACAATTTTTGCACGATATGTTATAATACAATAAAGTCAAACGATATTCAGAGTAACCGAAAGAGCTTCAAATTCGATTATTTGCAGTTATGCATGAACGGAAAAAAAAAGAGGAATTTAACAGGGCTCGATAGCAAAAATTATTTCTGCAGAAATGATTCGTTACATGTGGCTGATCAAATATCGGTACACCGAATATACACACCCGGTGAAATGTTAAAAAGGGAGAATAAATAAATAAAAAAAAATCGACGGCAGCGTGCACGGCAGGGTGTATCCGTACCAATAGCAGCAGCAGCACAAAGGGCTGTAATCTTCTGTATCCGCGGTAAAAATGGGAAACGACTTCTAGCGCGGGTTACGTAAGACACGGAAATATATTGAAAACCTCTCGGGGCTCTCGGGGAAAATGCAGCCACGTGTTTCGTGGCGAAGTTAAGGAAATTCTGAGATCGACGAAGCGTCTATCCCTAGCCGCGGGATGCTTCGGCGCGCAGCGGTATGTTGTAACGGCGACTGCGATATTTAATTAACGGAAATTGAACTGTGCTCGCAAAGAGTCTCATCGGCGTCTGAGAGCAAGAATAATGCGCGCTTTCCTATTTAGTCCCGCAAGATCGATTCGCGATGCTCTTCATTTACCTTCTCAGAGTCGCCAGTCGTTGCTCTTGCGCCGTGATGTATCCGTTCAGTGTGTCGATCAGCACGGCTTCCGTTTCGAGCAGCTCCTCCATATCCGCCAGGGCGGTGTAAAGTTCTGCAGCAGCATCGCGTGCCGTCACCGACAGCAAGATCGTTACGACGGCTAACAGAGTCGCCTTCCTCATCTCCGATCGATTCTGTTAATTAAAACAAGATTGATAAATATATTACTTATACAAGTATGTGCACGTCAATAATACTCTCATTTAGAAGTTTTCTTCACAAAGTTATGTATTTGCAGACAAACTCTGTGACGATAAATATCCAAGTGTTTGACTTCCGTGAAGCCAATATTTTATACTCTAAGGTTCCTTTGAATACTTGATACATTTCGGAAAGAATTCTGACGGTGAAATGTAAAAATAAACATCTATTTCATTTTAATCAGAGTTGATTTCAATTAGTTTTGATAGAATTTTGGAAATATTATTAAGAAAATACCGAGAGAGATTTTTATCCACAAATACTTGGCAAACTTTCATGAAATTCTTTTCGAAACGCGTCAGGAACTCTTTTAAGAAGAGTTGCTCTACAAGTTATATCCAAGTTTAAAAATGAAAAGGTCCATGAAGGTATTTGCTATTTTGCTGCTAAAATTGGTGTTGATCAGTATATGAAAAAAGATATAGATATTTCGACCAGTGGGTGGGACGTGAGGCTAGAAGATGCGTTTACGACAAACTTGACACTTTACTTTAGGAAAATTAATCAACTTCTTTTTTCATACGTTTTTCATCTGATCGTGCTCAAGCATTTTCAGAGTCCTCGATTTCATTTCCGACTTATTAAAAATTACAAAGAGATTATCCAAGCTATTGTTCATACATGATTCAAATAATAATTTACGCTTCGATGTAGCTGCTCATCCAAGTTTCATCTCAACTTCGTGTGCCAGGAGCGAGTTGCGGTTTACAGAGACACATATTGACTCGATCCCATCCCCGCGACAACCCATTGTCCCCCGTAAAAGAGAGCCGCGTACTTTGGCGAACGCCGAAATTTTCCCACGAAAAGTGGAACTCTCGTAGCTTCGTCGTCGAAAGCCGCGGACGAGGATGACGATGTGTCACCATACGAACGGATCCGCGCGCGCTCGTGTTTGTGTTGAGAAAAGTTGCGGCTAGCAAAGGACCGGAGTTTGCGTTCATCGCACAACTTACACCTGTCGAATCGACGATTTATTCCGTCACACCGGCGATGGCACGTAAACTTCTCTCCCTCCTCCACCCCTTTCCATCCTCTTAAGCCACCGCGGCCGATCTCTCGTCCCGTGTCACCCCTGCGTAGCTTTTCTGCCTCCCTCTCGTCCCACTTTGCGGCCGTGCTCGAGGGCCGTTCTTGTGGCGAGTGGATTGAGAGAGAGTGAAGCGTGTCAATACGCGAATAACTCGACGTTACGATATTCGATGCTCGTGCGAAGCGCCAAGAGATTACGCACTTAAAGGATCGCGGCCACTTTGGGACTATTTGCAAATACTTTGTTGGAGATGGGCTTCTCGGTAATTGCCCCTTCTGTCCAAAGAGCAATAAGTGATTTCACAACGATTTACTCGCGCCTAATCTCAATAAAGTTTACGATACCGATTGTCGTCGAACTGGCCAAATTCAACAAACAGTTCAATCCCGATGCCGGACTTGTATAATTTTATGTCGACGGATTATCAACGACGGTTTTCTTCTTTTCCTTGGCATTTTCTCAACTAACTTCTTATTAAGCTGTACAAATAAATTACTCGTTTATATTTTTCTATATAAGTTGCTATAAGTGATTCCTCGGAAACTTATTTAAGAGATTCGCAGAGAAATGACTAATAACTAATATAATATTTCATCAGTAATGTAATAATTAGTTAATTAAATAATTTAATATATCATTAACTAATAACATATACGATCAATACATTAATAAATGGCAGCTACCGCCCACAGCCCTAATTAATTAATTACCGAAATAAAACTCCGTAAACACCGCGAGGGTAACGTCGTGTTGGAAAAGTGTGCAACTTCGGTGGCGCATAATAATTCTTTCTGCGAATAGGCGAGAGGAATGCAGTGGCAAAATGACAGCTGTTTTCCACCGGCGGCTATTTTTTCCTCCATTCTTTTCGTCTCGCCTGCAACAGTCCTAATTACGTGTACCGTAAATTGGCTGAGCCCCCTCTCGGTCCCCCGTTCCATTGCCACCCCTTCGGTAATCGAGCTTGAAGCTTTGAGGTGAATTAAACGTGACCACGTGGCCACGTGTATGTACACGTGACAAAAGGGACGCATTGTTAACCGATGGCTCTAAGCTAGCCTCGTTCCGTGGGCGACATTTTCTATTGACACTTTCACTTACTCGAGCCCGCGCTCTTCTCTTCATACCTTCGATTTTACTCTCAACTTTTTGTCAGATCTTCGGGACAGCGCTCTTTGCAGAGGTGGATTAAAGAGTACTTAGATGGGACGCGGGCTTCATCTCCAAGAGCTCCCTATCTTTTTGCTATTAAAAATTTGAAAGTCAAGGAAGAATCTTAAACGATATTACTTTCGCGAAGATTAATAAAATAACATTAAGAAACCAAGTTCGCTGCATTTGGAGACACGGGGAGGATTAATCGACTAAATAATAGAAATCCTTTGTGATTATCGAAAATGGAATCAAGTACTTGGTTGGATATTGCAATCTTCGCTTACCGCAAAAGTTAGCCTCGCTAATCTAACTCCATTTTACAGTGTGCTACGGATAAACCGCACGAGACACGTTAGATGTGTGTCTTTACTGTAGCACCATGTGGCTTATACCTGTCATAAAAGATTACAGCGCTCTGTAAATTGTCGTCCAAGTTATCCAATCAAATCCAAGTTTTCCAACCGCTAGACGCACACACGTACACGCGAGAAAGGAGAACAAGTTTATAGAGTTATTCAATAGCTTCTCGAAAACGTCTATACGCGTTATTAGAAGGCAGGAGGCGCCGATCGACGACGTAGGTGGTGCCGCATTCTTTTTCCTCCACCTCTTGCTCCCGGGTACAACCATTTTTTCGTGGGTCATCGCGACTACTTCTTTTAAAACTTAAGCCCGGTCTCGTGGTAATTCGCTCCACGAGAAAGTTTTTTTCTTTCGGGGAAGAGCTTAATTAATGCCAGTCCTTCGGTGAGATTACGGGAGTTGGCCCGAATTTGCAGCAGGCGACCGGGAGAATTCAAACAAAAATTACTTGCTCCGCTCCACTCTCCGGCATACCGATCCGCGAAAATTTGGTGCTAATTAGCAATTAACCAGTTCGAGGGCCTCGAGCGCGCGACAGAATTTGCCGGCGCGTCTCTTTGTTCGACTCTGAATCGCGCGTTATTCATCGGCGACGTGTCTCAATATTAATCAGCGAGAGACCTGCTCATAATCGAAACGGGACACCGCGCTGGACGCGCGCGCGTCAGCCGATCCTCGGATGCGGTTTCAGCGACGGATTTTCCCTCCACAGTTCGGACCTCTAAACTTACATTATCGGGATATCGCGCGCTCAATATCCCGGCGATATCGCGGTATCCGCTATCCGACTCCCGGAGAGACGAGCGTGAATGCCGTTAATAAGAAGACCGCGGCGCGACAGGTCGCGCGAGCAAAAAGAGGCCCCGCCGATGTGGTGGTGGCTATCAAAGCGCGTTGCAGCTTCAAAATGGTAATTTCACGGCCTCGCGAGCATCTCGCCCGCGGGCAATTTAATTCCGGACGGATGATCGCGTCGTCTCGTTCGTACTGCCCCTTTATTTTTCTCCGTCTGCCTTTGTCTATCCGGTCCACGACGTCACCCAATCCCCTTCGAACTCGCACACCCCGGGTGTGCGACCTTGCGACTTCCATCCGCTCGCTTCTCTTTCGCCCGTCTTTTTATATCTTTTCACCCCTCGCGCCCCAGTCATTCTCTCCCTTCCTCCCTTTAAATTATTTCGATGGAGATTGCTTCTCGTTAGAATCGATCCGCGTTTACGGTATACCAAACTTTCCCGATCGCCATTAACGGAGGCGATCAAGCGTCGACTTCGGTCGATACTCGGCGTAAGATGCTGCCATTCCTACAAATTATTAATTCCTCAAAATACAGCCTGCTGATAACGTCAACGTCTACAGAGAAAGAATTACTCGGGAATATATCATCCTAGAAACATTTCATTTGTCGCGTGTTAAAGGAAAATTATTTAGGTGACGCGCGAGTATTACAGTGACGGAAACCTACCACAAGATAAATTGTTTACGGGCCACGCCTCGCACAAAGTTACGTCTATTTAAATTCTCCCATCGCTATATCCACGGCATTTTATTCCAACTCAAATTAATTTAATACCGAGGGGGCTCTTATTATTCCGATCCCGTCAAGATTCTCACGGTCCGGAATTCCGACGAGAAATTCTCGTCGGCTAAGTTCATCGATTCTATACCTCATTGAATCTAGTCGCCACAGTCGGATTGGGCAAACGAGTAGAAAACGCTCTGCTGAATCGTCTCCTTACGTTATTTAGAACAAGTTAAGAAACGAAGAAAATTTCACCAAGTATCATCATCGATAGTCCCTTTGCAACCTAAGATGCCTTTTTCTACAAAAACGACCACTAATGCTTCCGGATCGTCAAAGTGTTAATTAAGATAAAACAAAGCTGTCACTCGTTCTATATAACTAAAACACTGGTTATTTTATTGCGCTTCTTGCCCAGTCGTTCGGTCTATTTGTCCGGCACTCGTAAATGTGTGCAAACTTTCGTTAGAACTAAGGGCGAGACTTGCTCGTGAGCCACCGAGTTCTCGAAAACCGGTCTAATGTACCCCATGAAAACTCACCGATGCCATCACGTCCTCAATGCGTCGCGCGGTCACTTACAAGAGCCGCCCTCGTGAGACGAGAGGCGAACTTGGCGCGTATTCCCCCGGTAATTAAACTTAAACTTCTCGGGAAGCGATATTGTGTGTGTATATAGGCTACCGGGAGTATCCTGGAGTATTTCGTTAGCGACTTCCAGCCGGGGGAGGCTGATTTTCTTGATAAGTAGGCAAGCGCGACAAGTATCACGAGAGACGTCCAATGACTTGCCAAACAACTTACCGGAAGTTGCAAGCGTGTCAAGTTACTTCGCAATTTTCCAAAACGCAAAGCACAGA